AGGCGATAATGGCGGAATCACCGTCGCAGAGTGGTGCTCAGCTTGTTGCTCATCAAACTCCTGGTCAGCAAGCAGAATCGGATCTGGCGTCTCTCGTCTTCGGTTTGTTTCTCTTCCTCTTTTCCTGTGTAATCCTTTTCCATTCAAAATCGAATTTCGACTGACCTAGAAATCAGGAAATGAGCGTGTGAATTCCGACGTCGTACTAACCGTTCATCATGTTTGTGAAAATCGTTGTGAAATTCCTGAGATCAAAATGCTCTATGATTGTGTTTGACGAGTTTTCGCTTGATCTAAAGTTGAATTCGATTTTCTTCTTGTGCTAAAAATGTCAAATCCGCACCTGTTGAATCGAGATCTAAAGTTGCTTTGTAGGTGATATTAAAGTTTCTCAATAGATAGTGATTATCGCTTGGGTCGCCCTTTCCTGTTTTGCCAAATTAGCTTTAAAACAAAGCATTAGAGTGAAAGATGTCCATTATCGTCGGTTTGATCAGGTTGGAGTTGTTCTATTTGGATACTCAGATTCTGTGTGTTCTTTGAAACACTATCCTCATCCCTTTGGCATACGCAGTTGTGGCATACGCAATTGCAGTAACAAACACCATAAATCGTTTGAAGTTTGTCATTTAAGTGTTTCATGGATTAGATCAGTGAGTGGATTGAGATTACAAGTCAATGTTGCTATCACTTCAATGCCGTAATCTCTATCTTTCTGTGGTACTTTTACATGGTGTGTATAGATTTGTAAGGTAGCCTTTAAGTCATGTCGTGATAAGTTGCAATTGCAGAAATGTCACAGCAAGTTCAGATGGGAATGGAGAGCATGCTCAAGATGGTCAAGTGAGTTTGTTCTGTCGACTGCAAGTAATGGCTACTATTGTTGTTGAGTGCTGATCCAGTGCCTTTCTCTTTTGGTTGACGAATTCTGCAGTGAGATCGATCAAAATGCTGTTGGAATCAAGGAAGAGATTGAGAAATCAAAGGATTTTGCTATGGAGAAGAAAAGGTTTCTCGAGGAGGAGAAAGAACAGTTTCAGAAAGCTGCTTACACTATTCTTGACATGCTCAGCAACCGAGGCTAGATGCGGTACTCAATTTTAACCTCTAACAAGCTTCACTTAGATTTTACATGACATGGAAAATGCTAAATTCATAGTCACCTGATTAGTTCTTCATTTCCTCATGTAGCAGGGGATGCTCAAGAGAAACTTTATCAGATAAAAGAAGAAATATTATAAGTAAATGTCAAAAAGGACTCTTCACTGGTCTGGTTTTGTAGCCTTATTGCATCTAATATCCATTAAAGGTAATTAGCTTGACATTGCTACTACGGAAACTTTTGTCACAAATTGTTGATTCAGAAATTTCAAGTGGATGAAATTCATCAGGATATGACTCA